TTTAATGGTATGTAGTTTGATTTTTTTTTTAAATAAATTGTATTGTTAAATTGATTGATTGAATATTTCAGAAAACATGATCCGTGGGCGCTACATAGAACTATGTAACACCTCTGCCACAAGTGAAGAACCATAAAATTTGTCATAGCAGTAACTGTACAGTTACAGGCCCCTGGTACAAGTGTCACAGTGAGACAGACAGACATTTTACTTGCTAGTTTGTTCTATCACATGTTGACACTCTCTGTCAACAGTTTATGACATTGGTTATGGAGATTTGGCGACTGTCCTTAAGTAAGAGAGAGAAAGAGAGAGAGTGCGGGCTACCAGAGCAGCAGCAACAGTTTCTCAAATGTTTGCGAGGTGGTGAAGGAAAAAAAAATCCTCATTTTTGTAGTTCAAATATCCTGTAAAAATGCCTCAAACTGCTCCTAGTTTATTTCAATCTCTGTGAGAAACCAAATTAGACACAAGCCTCAACAAACCTCAGGGACGAAAAAGGGACAAGTAGGCAAATAGCTGCATCTACACTCTGGAGCAAAGAAAGAGAGAGAGGGAGAGAGACAGACAGACAGAGAAAGAGAGAGAGAGAGAGAAAATAAATACAGTTCAGACTGTGAATACACAGAGGAATAATTTCAGGAGAGAACAAGGATGAACACACAAATGCTATTTGACATCTAAACCTGTACACACAAGCTATGGAGGCAAAGTATATAGAGAGAACAGCTGAACAATTTGAGGAAAATATCTAATTGATTTTTTTCTGAACAATCCCAGGGTTCTTTTCAACAAGTTCATCAGGGATAAATAAACTTAACATTTAGGGAAAAGTTTGACATTTCAGGAAATAAGGTTTGGGTTATGTGTCGGACCATTTCATGGCTGATACCAGCAGGTTCTTCCACTGGTTGCCCTGCAACTGGTCCTGGACAAGATAAAACCCCCATAAAACAGCAATTTGTTGTTCTTTTTGCGTGGGTTGATTAGTGAACTAGTCCGCTGCTGACTGTAGCTTCACACTTAGTGTACAGACATAATAGTGTCAAAAATGTCAAACTATTCCTCTAACATAGCAACAATCTTTTTTTCCAATACAATCAAAAGTGTTATTTTCTTCTCAGCCCTGAATCCTGGAGGTCCCAGTTCAGAGTATTTGGGCTGATTGAAACATGAAACCAATGATATGATGTGGCCTGAAGTGTAACTGAGAGATTTAAACCACGGCTCACTTTCTGCCAGCTGTTGGTCGTTTACCACTAACGAGCAACCCGAGAGCTACCTGTCTGAATTCAATGTGAGACTACAACTATTGATCTAAAGAAGGACTCCACCACACCACTTTCTTTTTGAGCAGGAAGAAAGAAACATTCTGTCCTTTATGTTTTCATACAAAAATCATGCAGAGTGTTTTTTATTTCTTGACTCTACCAACTTGGGTGAGCAGTAAGTAAAGACTGTCATACATATTAATCAAACAACATTGTCAAGATTTTAATTTTGTTTGGCCAACTTGCAAAATTAAACATGAATTAGCTACAGCTGCATATAGTTGCTGTCCATATCATTATAGCTGGCAAAACCAACAGTCACCAACCATAAATTTCACCTCCTTCATCTTAAAACACTGGTAATGATGCAAGACATAGGCCTACTTAAAATTGTGGTTATTGCAATTTAAAATTGCACCCTTTCAATTTGCAATTTTGATGTAAAAACAAATTACAGTTCTGCTCTTATACTGAGAGTGACAGAAAGAAAGATAAACAGAGACAAGGGCTGAGAAGTGGGGAAAAAAGACAGAGGGAGAGAAAAAATAGAGGGAGAGAGCTTGCCAGTGGTGAAAGAGAATGAGAGTTTGGCATGTGGTGGTAAGAGGCTCCTGAATAAACAGACAGCCCCATTGCGTCTTTATGCCTGAGTGAGAGCAACACTCACACTTGTAATGAGTGAGCTGAGCTTTATTCACTTACAGCAGAAAAGACCCTACTATGGGGTGACAAGGGGGCTACAGCTTTCTCTCTGCTCATCTAGTGCATTTTGATTGGCTGGCTCCCATGCTGATGCTGCCTGGTTGCATTGTCGTAATTAAACCACAGCTTTAGAAACTATCACAGAAATTAATCGATAAGGGAATCGATAAAGAATTGGATCGATAAGCAGAATCGATAATGGCATTGGTATTGGTAAAATCTTATCAATTCCAATCCCTAAATTTTCCCCACAGACAGCTATTATAATAGACATGTCGATGAAACCTTTGACCAAATATCTTGAACTGCATGCAAAGTAATGTCTTTATATTGTAATGACATTTTTAAACCACAAAGATATACAAAAAAAAAATACAGAATTTAGTTGAAATATGTTCCAAAACACAACATCATGTGGAGATACGCTGTCAAAGCCTTCCGTGACCCAGAGTCATTGGCAGAAGTGCAGAGATATTCTCTTTAAACCAATCAGAGAAGGCCAAACTCAGGGGAGGGAGCTCTTGGCTCATATCGTGCTCAAGCTAGCTTGATTGAACTTGAATATTACAGCTTTAACATCTGCAAGACCCTCTCAAAGCCTCGGAAAGCTACTTTATGAACATGTTGTCATCTCAGTGTAAAGTCTGGTACAAACTGTTGGGAACTAACCTGGTTCAAGACCTCTGAATCAGCACCCACCACCCACCACCCACAGCTCACATTTCTTTAAATAGGTCTGTCCACTGACATCTGTTTAACACTGGTTAGAGAAACACTCGACCAGTCAGAGCTTAGACAGTGGGCTTCAGAATAGGGATGCCATCTTCTTTCAATGCTAGCTAGCTACCAAGCTGCAGTCATGAAAACAGCATAAAAAATGGCAACAAGTATGGATGACACTGACACATAGGTTGACTTCCAAAAATAACTACTCTTAGTATTTTCCTCGATAGATATGAAAAACATTAATTTAATTGCTCCTGGCAACCACTTCTGCGGCTCCATGTCAACTGAAAATTGATGGGACGGATATGTCATTTGCTACGAGTTGGTTAGGGTAAAACAAAGAACCCCGCTCCCAACAAGAGCTCAGTTAACTCAATGTCAGGCAGAATGAAGTGAAATGAAATGGCAATTCAATCCAATTATCAGGGTCAGGAACAGGAAAAGAGACACTAATGCACATTTGTCATGGGCTACACAGCTTAGAGTTGAACCAGGAAGAGAAAAAAAATGTCTGACCTTTGTGCTACTTTCATTGGGCATGGTGCCATTGGTACCTGTTATCAAGTTCTAATAATGCACCCATGGGCAAAAGTTTGTCTCAAGCCTCAGGCAGATCTATGTGCCTGTTGTGTTGTCCCAAAGTCCTGTACTCTGCGGGCTGAGGGATGGGTGAGGGGGTGAAACAGAGTGCTGAAAGCAGCGCCTTGTTGCCCACAGCGGTAGCCTGACCAATCTTCTCCTCCCCACCCTGGCTCACCTACCTACCCTCAGCCTACACACACACACACACACACACACACACACACACACACACACACACACACACACACACACACACACAAATTAGACCAGTCAGCCAGACAAGCAGTCTAACTTTAGTGGGAGAAGCCACAGTTATACTTTGTGCTGGCTTCCTGAGGAGTGAGCACAGGTACAGTCAGCACAGCCACGAGAGCATGTTCAGACACAAACCTACAGTTTAATAACTTCACCGAGGTATTATCATTAAATCTGATGCTGTACTTACACACATCATGGTAAACCGCAATGTACCAGAGGAGAGAGATGTGCGTGTGTGGATTCTATGTTTTTGCACATTTAATACAGTAATCATGATAGATTGGGTCGAGACCTGCCTTTAAAAAAGAAAACAAAATAAATAAAAGAACTCCATCAACCATCGAAGATTTTTGTGGCAGGTTCCCATGCCAACAAGCCACTTAAATCTCTGCACATTTCCCTAACTGTTAACCACACCTACCCTAATTACCCCATAGGACCTGCACTCTGATCTACAGTCAGTGCTGTGTTTCTCACTGAAGCTTAAGAGAACTTGAAGCCTTTTGACTGATTCTGGATGAGTCATTCAGGCCCTGAGTTGGTCCACATTCTCCTGTTCCCGCCCCAGTGTCAGTCAACCCTTACCATGACCAATCACACAAAGGGGAAGGGTCATAGGTTCATTCCCAAATCCCCAGGAGTATCATTGCAACCTTTAAGCGTTCCATAGTGGTGAATTGGTCCTCACCCCTCAGATCGTCCAAGGAGGCACGTCCCCCACACAGACCAATCTCCGATCACCTCAGTACACAACTGTTGCGTCTCTCAGTGAGAAGGCCTCTGACCTAATGAATCATTATGACATCTCGTGAAAACACACAATGATTTTTCTAGGAATTAGTGAGAGTTATGATCACAGCCTCTGAGTACACCATTTGTGATTACTAATTCCCAGTCTTTAAAACACAACAGAGTCTCAAGACTGTTCCACTTTGGAAAACTAACATCAATCACGCTTTTCACAAAGGCTATTCTTGTTTTTGAGTAAGAAGCTCTCCTATAGCTTGGACAGATATGAAAGTGCTTTGCATACAGCTTCACACACATACTGGCCAACTTCTTACCATAATGAGGTTCACATGCATGAAAGAGCATGGAGAGGTCTTCTTTCTCAGCACTAATCCACTAGTTCCTCTTTTTCACAAGAAATGCCTTAATCTGTTAATAACTACTTTCTGTCTCTCTTTCGAGACAACCACACTTACAGTATACACACACACACACACACACACACACACACACACACACACACACACACAAAACAACAACAGAGGAGGTTTAGTAGAACTTTGTGGTTATAAATGAGAGTCGATTCAAGGCATGTTCAGACCCATCATCACACAGCTGTTTGTAGAATCTTTTGTTCTTCCTCTAAGACACAGTAACGCAAAACTGCTATACACCAAAAGTAGGTGTATGTTTGACTATTTTTCTGCTGTTTCTTGTGAACCTGTTTCCTACCTTCACTTGGACAGGGCTTTAGGTTTGGGCAGCTGTTTGGTCTCTCTGTGGAGGAGGTTGTATGTGAACTTGGTTGCGGAGCTGGTAGACTGGGGTCCCCATCAACAGGTGGCTCTGGGGAGATGGCAGGGTCACTCCTCTCCTCATCCATGGACGTAGGCCTGGCTCTTATGGCAGGAGGTGGAGGGGCCAAGGAGTGAGCCTGGACCAGAGAGAGGAGATAGGTAAAAATATTATAACAAAGATGATAGCATGGGTCACATGAAAGATTTCTGAAATTCTGAAATTGAGCAACAAGCCAACAGGCCGTGCTTCATAGGGAGAGGTGTAGTCAGTCACGACTTGAACCAGCATGAATCCCTTTCAGCTATTTAAGAATGACTAAAGGAAGAGGCAGACTGGCTTGCTGCTTGCATGAAACAGTGGTAACACAACGGAAATGCCTAATCATAGCCTTCTTTTTAATTAGGAGTGTTTAAACTCTTTTAACTTATTTTATGCAAATAATAACAACAATGGTAGTATTTATTTATATCTAACACTTCTTAAAGCTCTAAGATGCTTTATTGAAGCAAATCATAATAAATCTTTCAATGAACACTAAAACGTGAAATAAAAAGGCATAGTACATAGCACAGTAACAAAAGAAGAATGGAGAAAAAAGTCAAACAATAAGTAATTAATTAACAAAACAACAGAAAAAGGGAAGAATAAAGCTGATAAAACACAACAAAACTGGAGCATTCAAACAAAAGCTGGCTAAACACATTGTTGTTCATATTTACAAAACTTTATTTCATATTTCCAATCAACACCACAAGCTGGTTTACAATAAAATATGCATACTGTCTAAAAAGCGAAATCTTAGATTTGAATATTTTAATCAATTTCAGAGTGAAATTGCTTCATTAAAGCTCCTACAACAAGCAGAATAAATAAATATAAATGATAATATAAAATAGAAAAATATGATATGTGTAAATTGCTTTATATAGGCCTAATTCTGAAACAACTTAACAATACAGTTAAGAGCAATATTGAACATTACTCAGATTACTTAGATGATGATCATATCAAGTAAAAGCAAGAATATGTAATACTTACTGTAAACAAGAATAGGCTGTTAGTTTTGGCGCATGGTTACAGCTCCATTTCTTGCATTTCTTACTAAATGGTTGCTCGGCGACCTATGAACGGGACCACTTTCAGCTAGTCCGCTTTTTAATTTGTCAGGTCACAGGTGTGTTTTATCCGATATTTTCAAGAGGTTTCGAGCAGCCAATGATAAACGAGCACCGGGAATGTTGTAAAACTCATTAGTAAGACCGTTCAAGTTCACTATGTGGGTCACGTGCCAATGTGTGTTTGGCGCGCGCCTACCTTGCCAAAGCAGCTCAGCTGGACAGCTGTTTGCGCGCTCCCGTGGCTCGCTCACTGCCATCCAAAAGTTTTGACAACCTACAGCTAAAGTTTTGTGAAAAAAAAGGTTAATGGAGCGAAGTTCACCTGAATTCGTGTTTGCTTCATTACTCACTCATTACTCATTCACTCTCTTGCTAGTTTTATTGTAGGTCTACTTTAGAAACGGTAAAAAAGTTTTGAGAAGTTTCGAGGATAAAGAAGACACACCGCACACTCAAAAACAGTGCCAAACTTCTGTCCCGAAAACGTACTTGTGCCAGTCTTTTAAAAAACAAAAAGGTCTAACTTAAAAAAAATTTACACTGAAATTTAGAACATAGCCACACTAAAAGTCACTGTTTGCTAATAACGGGCATATTCTGTTTACCTTTATTGCAGGTCTATGCCCTGCTTTCCCAAAACGAGTCCCTGCATGCTGAGACTCCTCAGCTGCAGAGTGTGGATCCTTTCTCTGCCTGGATTTATACTGCAGAATAACTCGCTTTGATGTTTGACGACAACAGCTCAGGAAAACAACTTCTTACCTTGTCTCTGGCTGGGACTCGGAGCAGCCGAGGCTTTGGCTAATTCATTCTCTAACTGCTCCAGGTGGACTTCTCGCCCTCCAAGACCTCTCCCGTCCTCTTTCTCTCCACTCTTATCACTTTACACGAACACCAGATCTCCCTTCGACTCATGTAGGTGTCCCAAACTCCCAATTCAATGCATTTTTCTCCAGCGGAGATAGTTTTCTCTCCGCCTCCAAAGTTTCTCTCTCCGGCTCGCCCCGTCCTCCAGCAGACCAGATGTTGGGAAGTTTGTGTGTCTCTGCAGGCAGCTCGTTGACGCTGAATACTTTTTGTCTGCACTGCAGGTTTCCTCACCTTCTATTGCTTTGTTTTGCAAACAAAGTCCAAGTACACCACCTTTCCAAACTTGTTTAAACTCTTAAATTGAACAGTGACCGTCCTGTGCACTCGGTCTCTCCTCTCTCTTTACTCCCACTATACTTGCCTCAGACTTCTGTGCTGCAGCTATTGGACAGGAAACTACAGTCAGCAGTGATTGTGCTTCCTCCAGGCTACAAACTAGTTGGGCTGAACTATACTGTCATATAATTACCCCTTAACCCGAACCAGACACAGCACTAACACAAGCTAGCTTTCATGAGGAACCATATGTTTTGTCATTAATAATATAGTAAAAGAATTGTGAAGAAACCTGTTTATGCAGTATATCAATACTAAGTTTATTGTCACTTGGGAACAGCATTTTAAATCTCCTATAACAGCATAATATACCATGAGACATTATAAAGTGTTACCTTTGCATCTATTTAGATTTTTGAAGCAATGCTGTACTGTATATTAATGATAATACTGAAAACAATGCTTTTAGTAATTAGCTTAATCAAAAAATTAAATCTTTAAACCAGAAGCTTGTGTTTAATAAGCTGAAAAGTAGGCCTACCTACATGTATTGGACTCTGACAAGATTATAGTTGACCAAGACTTTGTTTTCCCAGAATAAAGGTCACTGTTTTTAGTTCACATGCTGCTGTGACTCACTGTGGGAATTGCCTTCATTCAGTCTGGCGTGCACGAGGCACAGGAGGCTATATAAATTGTCCCAGTGCGGGATGAAACTAGCTCATATTGTCAGCAATGAGTCATGATTCCTCCTCATGATGGTAATTGTATTCAAAAGTAACCCTTCAAAGCACACCCCCACCTTATACCTACATGCCATTAACACCAGCTGGTTATGTTATTCTTTTTTAAAAACATAGCTACCATCTTGTCAAAACCATAACCCAACTGGGTATGCACACATCACAACATGTGTATAACAATGTGCTGTATTAAATGGCTCCGAGCACATCATTCTGAAACTGTTCATCATGACTGAGTATATAGTAATGATGATATGTGTGTGTGTATACATATACGTATACATATATATCAACACTGAATCAACAAACATCAAAACTTAAGATTGTCTTTCAAATTCTAAAAACCTTATTTAATTTAATACACAGTGGATGTGTTGCAATATCTTTATGTTATCAGAGGCAAGGTACTAACATGTGATATATGGATACATTTAAGTGCATAGAAATAAAGATATGCAAGAAGCAGGACAGCTCTGAGCTTCACCCAGGAAAACTTCTATCTATTAAACTCTGACTAGTTGCCAAACTTGTCTTTGTCTTTGCAATTGACCTTTGACAGGCTTAACACACTAATGCTTGCTACCAGTTTAACCTCTTTTCCAAACTATGTTCAGAGTTTTGTCATGGAATGATGGTTGGTAGATAGATGCAGTTATCTTGAAAAACAATTCCATGAGGTGTTTGTGTCAAAGGACCTGATATTTATGTTTACAAGTGGTTACCGGTGAATGTTTCGAAATAGATAAGAAGCCTCAATAAATACAAGCTACTCCAAATATCAAATATCAAAAACATTCCATCTTACGCAGTGTATTTTATTTTGCACTAAGATAAATTAGAATCAGTTAATGGCAGAAATCCAACAATAATGTTACTTGAGCCAAACCTGTCTACCTTCCTTTTAAACTTTTCGCAATAACTTTCTGACAGAGAAAACTGCAACCTATCTCCAACTTTGTCAAGTGTATTATTTAGAACTATTTTTACTCATTGCAAACAATATGACTGGTGAAATAAAACCAACAAAAAAAACCCCCATAAGAATTAGCTGAGTTTCTTGGGTCACATATGATACAGAAGAATACTGCGACAGACAGGCCTTGTCTACTCATGCCATGTTGACACCTGGAGGTTAGCTGAAGTGTGTGTTTTCTATGATTGATGCTTGAAGGCGTGGCGGGGGCGCGAGGTAATACACAGCAGCAAAAGGCTTTTGAGACAGGCTTCATTTTCACTAACAACTTGATAACCTCCCATTCAATTTGTGTACAGTCACTCATCCCTAACAGTCAGGCTTTGACACAGAAGCATTTGTAGGATTTGTGCTGTGTGGGGGCTCAGTGTCTGTCTGGGCACGAGGGTCAGAGTTTGTGTAGGCAACAGTAGCATTAGAGAGGTCTTGTTCCAGCAGGGGTTTTTTTTTTTTTTTGTCTATTTCTTTTTTGGTTTGTGAAAGCAATCAAGACATTCTGTATTTTACTTAGGACTGCGGTTTTACAGTTCAGCAGATCAGACTCACTCTGTGATGAAAATATTATGTTACACATAATTCGCATAGACATGAAATTAAGACAGATTTTAACCAAATCTACCACTGAAAGGAAGTGTGATCGCAAAAACAGCAGCATTTCAAAGTCTCTTTGAGCTAATTCATTTGAACACATTTTGAATAGTTGCCCTCCCTGCTGCTTTTACATGCATAACTTACCAGTCTGCCATTTACTGCAGGGGATTTTTAACACGGTGGGACAAGAGCACTCCCAAATTGTTTAAAATTAAAATTCAGGGTTCATTTCAGCCAATTCACAAGATCACAATGTGTTAAATGTGTTAATGAGGAAATTCTCGCCTTTTACTGATACCTTCACAACAGAAGACCCTGCAAAAATAAACCAAATAAAAGCTTCAAAAGACCCTGGAGATTGTTGACATTACATCGTGGGCCACATTAAATTCTTGTATGTTTGTACAAGATTCAGCCCCCCCCACCTATCCCAGCGCTGAACAATGAGAGTGGAGAAATTTTCTTGTCATCACCTTCCTGAAGAGCTCCTGCTGTCTATCCTCTTACTTCCGTTCATGACTCACACCCCACTTCACCATTCACCGCACCCACAAGGCTCTCTGCAGCGAGCTCTTCTAGCTTTAATTTCTATTTCTTACTTGGTATTTACATAATTATTTAAAAGCTAGTGATTCACAGGTACTCAACGGTAATTTAATCAAACCTTATTTAACGGCTATTTAATGGTTTTTAAACACATTTGTCACAGAGGAGGTGGCTCTGTAAATTTGCTGCTTGCCTTTGTTCTGGTTCTAATTGACGGCTTCCTGTAGAGGTGAACAGGGACACTTTGGATCGTCCAGGGTCTGGAGCACCGAGCAGATGAATATGGCAACATCCTTCCACATTCCTCACTTCCAACAGTGCTATCAAACCGGCTTCCAATTATGAAACAGAGACTGGACGCGCATACACATACAAGTATTTTATTCTGTGTAGAGGGACAGAAATAGCTGCAACTGCAACAGATTATATTTTGCCCTTGATGCTGAACAATATCTGTTCTTTAAAGAAATAGTTTGACATTTTGGGAATATGTGTCTTTCTTTCTTCCCAATATCTTGCCTGGCTCTGTCCAGAGGTAATAAAATCTGCTTACCTGTCATATCTTGTTTGTTTTATCCATGCAAAAATTTAAGGGATTATTTCACAACCAGGATGGTGCCAGGCAACCAGCACTCCATTCCAAGTTACTGATCTTAATGCTTTTAGGTGGATTTTGTTACCTCTGGATAGAGCCAGACTAGCTCTTTCCCCCGGTTTCCAGTCTTTTTGTTAAGGTGGTTAGTGGTAAGGTTCTAGCGGAGCTGAACTCCACCTTAAAAGTCACTCTTTTTATACAATGGAATGGATTTGTTGTTAGGAGGAGAGGGCCAACATTATATTAAAAAATCAAAACCCACACTTGTGTTTATATTTTGGTGGAATACTATAGAAGAGCTGCAAATTTTGCAAAAATGCCACCACACTGTATCACTATACATCACTCCCTCATGTTACTCACTGTCACAGCATTTCAAAGGCTGAAGTAAAGCTAAGAGGGAAGTTTTAATTCCTTCTACATACTGTACAAATTGTCCTCACAAAACCATGTCATGTTTCACTATATTGAAAGCAGTGCTACCTTCCTCCCAGCATGTAGACCTGTTCTTTGTTTGGCTCAGGCCTGTGAGGCTTGAGAGGCTTTCCAGTCCACTGACGCCCAGCAGAGAAAGAACAGGTTGCCTTCTCCAGCCACCCAGCGCTGGACGACTGAGGCGAGAGCTGCTCCACTGCTCCAGGACTTCTGACCAGACTGCAAGAGATGCCACATCCAGACCCAGCCCAACGTCAGATCAGCAGACAGGGTGGGAGGGGCAGACAGAGGAAATGTGGAGATTGAAAAAGGGTGAGAGTCCAGACAGATGCAGAGAGAGAGAGAGAGAGAGAGAGAGAGTGAGAGAGTATGTGAGAACAGTGTGTGTTTGTGTGTGTAGGTGTGTGTTCACAGAGAAGTGAAACTGGAGCCACACGCACACAGAGATCTTCAGCTGAGACCGTCTCTGAGTATTATTCTAAACTTTTGACGTTGATTGTTTCAGTGGTTTTGAGCAGGCTGGTGTGACTGGGAGAGTGAGCAAGGGAGAGAGAGGGAGAGGGAGAGAGAGAGAGAGAGAGGAGGGTGAAAATGTGGTTCCAATCACTCACAAAGATGCTTTTGTTCTGTGGCTGGGGCCCTCTCTCTCTCTCTCTCTCTCTCTCTCTCTCTCTCTCTCTCTCTCTCTCTCTGCCACACATGAAGTCTCTGAGTTTCATCCACTTTCCCATCAGCCTTGGCTTCTCAGGGGAGGGTGTATAGACAGAAAAAGCATACCTGTGAGACACTAACAATAGGAGTCTTTTTTTTTTTTTTAAACCAGGACAATGACCCAGCATTCATGCAGTACTGATGTTACTCTGTAATATCCCATCACTTCAGTGTTATGTTGGCACCTTTTACTTTAGGTTTGCATTGCAAAGTCCTCCTTCTGTCTCTGCCTTCCAGAGCCGATGATTACTTAGCTGTATTATCTTAGTTTTTTTTAATACTTGTTATTGGTTAAATTCAAAGCATTTTGGTGTGATAACCGTAACCCAGATCAAAACCGATGAATTGTTGCTTTGTACACAGTTCATTAATGCAATTAGTGCTGAAACAATTAATGATTGTTTAATCAATTAGTCAGTCAACAGTAAATTAATCACATCTATAGTAATCAATGAG